ATTATGTATGGTTCCGTGTTGCTGTTGGGCAGTATGACTGCTCTGTTATTGTTCCTGATTGAATCCTATATTATGTATGGTTCTGTGTTGATGTTGGGCATTATGACTGCTCTGTTATTGATCCTGATTGAATCCTATATTATGTATGGTTCTGTATTGCTGTTGGGCAGTATGACTGCTCTGTTATTGTTCCTGATTGAATCCTAGATTCTGTGTGGTTCTGTGTTGCTGTTGGGCAGTATGTCTGCTCTGTTATTGTTCCTGATTGAATCCTATATTGTTTATGGTTCCGTGTTGCTGTTGAGCAGAATTACTGCTCTGTTATTGTTCCTGATTGAATCCTATATTGTTTATGGTTCCGTGTTGCTGTTGAGCAGTATGACTGCTCTGTTATTGTTCCTGATTGAATCCTATTACTTTGTCTGAAATGCCATAATCATCTAGATTTCCTGAATCCACGAAGGAAGGTATCGAAAGTCTTCACGAAATTCGACGATATCTCTGGAAAACTGTAGACTACCTTTCACAAATCTAAACGGCTTGTTTTTGAAAAGGTAATCGTTGCCTAGATTTTTCATTTTCTTTCCTCTGACAGTCTTCTCCATCAATTTACATTTTTTCCATTTCCATTTAACCTCTCCTTCCTTGTTTTTCTTGTTTATCATGTTTTACAAATGTTTAGCCCACAGCCTGAGTAAGAAAGATAGGTTTCGGCGAATTCAGCAACTATGTTGTCGGGTTATTGGGATTTTTGACGTCGTCAGTGTTTGCACAGTCAGAAACATTCTGGTGTGTCCTTCCTTGGTAATTAAGGTATTTGATAATCAGGTTCCGAGAAGAAGGCACTACTAGAGAAGTCATCCAAAGCTTCCGCTCTTTAACTAGACCAAAGAACCACGGACTGGCATAAACCTTTCACTAGGCTAATAGAACCACGGATTGGCATAAACCTTTAACTAGGCCAATAGAACCTCGGATTGGCATAAACCTTTAACTAGACCAATAGAACCACGGATTGGAATAAACCTTTAACTAGACCAATAGAACCACAGACTGGCATAAACCTTTAACTAGGCCAATAGAACCACGGATTGGCATAAACCTTTAACCAGAGCAATAGAACCACGGACTGGCATAAACCTTTAACTAGGCCAATAGAACCACGGATTGGCATAAACCTTTAACTAGCCCAATAGAAGGACGGATTGGCATAAACCTTGTACATGGTACATAGAAGCTGACCGATTCATAACACTTCGAAAAAGAACCCATTCTGCTTTTGATTCCTTTGCACACTTCCTCCTCGAAACATCAACCAAATTAAGTATACAGATGTTTGGGAGTGCCTTATAAGATATACCAGCAAAATATATATATGAATGCACCAATGTCAAGTATGAATGACATCGTGTTGGTTTAGCGATTAAAGGGACTTAACTCGTTATCACATTTTGGAGAAAATGCTATATTACACTCAAGGTACTATCAACTGAGTTCCTAATATGTAGGTTATTTGAAAATGGTATAAATGTTATTTGAAAGTGCAGCTTCATCAGTGATCTCGTGATGACGACAGATAATCTTCTAGTGATGGGTAGTTCCATCTTATAAATATGCTGTTCTTTTGAAATGGTTTCAATAACGTATTTATCTAAACATTATAAAGTTAGAATAAATGGTGGCCTTTAGACAGTTCCTTTTCTCATTTGTATCCGGATTTTTTCTCTGTCTCTTCTTCATTTTGTTAGGATTGGTTTTGTTTTGAGATTGTAGATGTCAATGGGAACAAGCATAAATGTTTGGTTGGTGCCCTGGGTCATTTAAGCATTGGAATGGTTTCTGTTGGCATTCATAGACAATATAAAAAGGCCAACAGGACTAAGAGATTTTCAATCTGAATGTAGACTTCCCCACTTAACAATAACATCGCCATGTAATCTGTTGATATAAAGACTCTTGTTTAGATGCTCCATGACAATTTGTTACGTTACGTCAGTCTACAAACGCTAGTACAGATATTCCGGTCATCTAATTTCAAAGATATGTTTAATTGAACTAATGGTTTAGAGCTCTCCCTCCAAACTCATATTTATAACTTGAATGCTGTTGAGCTAACCACGATAAGATAACTACCGTAGGCTTGGAGTTACGTACCTCACCCCAGGCTCTACAACAACAAACGTAACAGCAAAGCTTAGTATATACTCCATTGACAATGTTATCATTTAAGGGTTGACCTTCATTTTGACTGCGTATACGGTAGTATGAACGCAGTTGGCAACGAACATATTCTATGGAGCGCGTACTGTCTGTCCCATCTCTGCTACAGATGTAGTATTTAACTTCCATACATACAGCTGGTATACAATGATAACATTTAACTGTCTGTCCTATCGCTGGTACAGATGTATTGATACAGTGATAACATTTAACTCTATGCCCTATCGCTGGTACAGACGTATTGATACAGTGATAACATTTAACTGCTTATCCTATCGCTGGTACAGATGTATTGATACAGTGATAACATTTAACTGTCTGTCCTATCGCTGGTACAGATGTATTGATACCGTGATAACATTTAACTGTCTGTCCTATCGCTGGTATAGATGTATTGATACAGTGATAACATTTAACTGTCTGTCCTATCGCTGATACAGATGTATTGATACAGTGATAACATTTAACTGTCTGTCCTATCGCTGGTACAGATGTATTGATACAGTGATAACATTTAACTGTCTGTCCTATCGCTGGTACAGATGTATTGATACAGTGATAACATTTAACTGTCTGTCCTATCGCTGGTATAGATGTATTGATACAGTGATAACATTTAACTGTCTGTCCTATCGCTGGTACAGATGTATTGATACAGTGATAACATTTAACTGTCTGTCCTATCGCTGGTATAGATGTATTATTTAACTTCCATACCTACAGCTGGTATACAATGATCACATTGAACTGTCTGTCTTATCGCTGGTACAGATGTATTGATACAGTGATAACATTTAACTGTCTGTCCTATCGCTGGTATAGATGTATTATTCAACTTCTATACC